GGTGAGGAAACTGAGACTCAGGGAAGTTGTGACTTGCCCCAATGCACACAGGTAGAAGGTTCATAGTCAGGATAGAAAAAATAAATAATATATAATTTGAGTAGGGAGGGAATATTAAGAAGGATCAGACAGGGCTTCCTTTAGGAAAGGGCACATACATTGAACCTTGAAGGAAGCTAGTTAAGGAGGAGGTGGAGGGGAGAAGGAAGTGCATTCCTGGAATGGGCTATGGATGGCCTGGGAAGAGGCACAGACCAGAAGAAGGGATGCCAAGTCTGGGCAACAGCTGGAATACAGAATAGATGACAAGTAAAGTGAAACGAGCCTTGTACCACATTGCAAAGGGCTTTAAATAGAAAAGAGGAGAGTGAGCAGAAGCCAGATCTTTTGACTCCCTTTCTATTACTTTTTTTCTTTCTGTATATTACATCACAAGCTACAGATGTAGACAATATTATTGTTATTATAGCTACTAGAAGTGGTACCCATCTAAATAAAGGCACATGGTGCAATGGATAAAGTACTAGCCTGTGGTCAGGAGACCTCAATTTAATCCAGCTTCCTTGTTCTGTAACCCTGAACAAGTCACTTAATATCTCTGAGCCTCAGTTTCCTCTTCAGTAAAATGGGAACAATAGCACATCCTACTTCACAGGCTTGTTGTGAGACTCAAACCAGCTAATTAACATCTAACTTAATATTAATATGTTAATAGATATAAATGTTAAAATTAATATGCATAGAAAGGGCCAGGGAAATAGAACTTTCTATCAATTTCAGGTATCATTACCTGTGTGAAAATGTTAGATTAAGAGATTTAGTGGAATAAATCATAAGTATTATAGAAATTTCCTTTCTGTTTTCAAGGTTTTGCCTCTATACTTAGGCCTGGGCAAAAGGAGGGAGAAGAATGAAGTACAGCATTCTGGGCTTATTGGAATAGATGAGGCTTTTGCCTGGCCTGCTTCCATTTTATTATTCCCATCTCTGTGTTCTGTGTCCACACACAAATGCCTGCCGGAAGCAGGTGGAGCTGCTTAGGAGTTTTGTCATGGTTAGACTGGCCAGGGAAGACAGGCACTGATGGTCTGCCTTAGGCTGCACCCATCTGCTCAGATCTGTCTCAGAGTCATGAAAGGCACCAGCTTAACAAAGAAATCCTAGAGTGAGGCCTACATGTGGAAAGCCCTGGCTCTACCAGTGGTTTTAATTTGCTCATTGGAGGAATTGAGTAATTTTTGAGAGTGGAAAAAGTGGAATTGAATACACTTTAATTCTTCTTAAGAAACAAAAACACATATCCATCCCAAAAAAACATGGTTTTATTGGGAAAAAAGTTCATATCTCTCTTGTTTCTATGATTCTTTCCATGGAAAATTTGATTGAATTTTTCTCCAAATATAGTGGAGTCTGAGTGGGAGGGAAATGTTTATTGCTTGTTTCTAGTGGGTAGGGATGTTATATGCCATTCACAGTAATACTGACAACAAATTGTAGTGACATATGCATACATACACAAGACACATGTACATGTATAAATGTACACATATGTATGTATGTATATATATAACACTTCTATTTTAAGGCTTACAAAATAATTCCCTCTTAACAGCCTTGTCCCATTCACTAAAACTATTTTGTTGTTTAAGCTAGTTTAACAGTAATAATTAAGCTTTCCTAATAATAGCAAAGTGGACATCTCATTAGGATCAAAGATTTAAAGCTAGAAGGGATGTTAGTAACTACCCAGTCTAATGCCTTCATTACACAGATGAAGAACTAAGTCCAGAAAGAGTGATTTGACCAAAATCATAGAAATAGTAAATATACCCATAATTCAATTCAATTCAATTCAATTTAATAAGTATATATGTGGCTACTACATAGGTTCTGGGGATATGATGACAATTTTTTAAAAAGTCCCTTGTCATTAAAAGGAGTTTAGGATATGATGACAAATTTTTTAAAAAGTCCCTTGTTGTTAAAAGGAGTTTATACTTTCTTGGTGGGGAGATATAAGCAGATCAATAAATATGTAATGGTTTTTAATGGAAGGCACAGATAGAGTGTTTACCTTAGAAGGAAGTGTGTATACCTTCTTCTATGAAATAGAAGGAAAGGAACAGAGCGTGAATTAAGACCTAAAACCTAAAAGGTTTAAGGTGAGGAGGAGGGAACAATTGAGGAAGCTCCTGTCAGATAACCTTCATCTTCTTGGTAAGAGCTCCTAGAGTATGAAAAGGGATCCTGGAGATTACCACCTGGACAACATAAGCTTCTTAAGGATGAGGATTGTTTTCATTTTTGCCATTGTCTTTCCAGAGCCTATGTGGAAAGAATTTAACAAACGCTTATTCAATTACATTGAATTAAGGATCTGTTTATTACCTGTGTGACTTGAAAGTTTAGAAAGCACTTTCTTCACAGGAACCCTGTGGAGTGAATAGTAAGGTGTTATTAACACCATTTTATAAATGAGGAATCCAAGGTCTGTATAGGTAAAGTACTTTACGCATACATTTCAGAGTCAGGGCTGAAACCCAGGTCTACTGATTCTAGGCCTAGTTTTCCTTCTCTTCTATTATAGTTTCTCTTAGCCAATTAACATTTATTACGTCCCTACTCTATGCCAGGGACTGTGGAAGATACAACTTAATATAATGGAGAGGGCATAAGGCCAGGAGTCTTCAGACATCTTGGCTTCTAGTCCTGGTTCTACTGGAGCTAGATAATGGTATTGGGCAATTGGGCCTGTAGAATAAGAGGCTTATTCCAGATGCTGCCCACGGTAATTTTCAGTTTCCTTTTTTGCCTCTTTGATTCACTAAATGTTAGGTTGTAAAAGAAATAAAGACTCTTCTCTCTAAAATCATGGGGAAAGCGGGTTATATCAAGATATCTCAATGCCCTGTTTTTCCACTTCCTGGTCCACATACAGTTGTATTGACAATAACTGTCCAGGGTCATAGTGCAGTGAAAAAAAAAACTGGTTCTGTAGTCAGAGGATTTTTATTCAAATCTTACCTCTGATGTTCACTAAGTGACTTCAGCAAGTTACTTAATTTCCCTGGGTTTCAATTTCTTCAACTAAACAATTACAGGTTTGGGCTAGGTGATTTCTGAGGTCTTTTTCAGCTCTAAGTTAGTGATCCTGAGGAGAGGTAGTATGGTAGATAGAAAATTGGGCCTGAAGTCAGGAAAACTTGAGTTCAAATCTGGCCTCAGACATGTACTAGCTGTTTGATCCTGAGCAAGTCACTTAACTTTTGTCTGTCTTAGTTTACTCAACTGTAAAATGGGGATAATAATAGTACCTCTCTCATAGATTTGCTGTGAGGAATAAATGAGATAATATTTGTAAAGCATTTAGCACAGTGCTTGGCAGCTTCCTCCCTCCCTCCCTCCCTTTATTCCTATGGTGTTATCTGAAGTCCTCTGTCCAAGTTTATCTTCTTCACTCAGCTATAAAGAAGTCACAGTCCAAGCAACAACAGGGAGCAAAATGTAATAGAAATTATTGCATCCACACAACTGAAGCCATCTGCACTTAACTATGGGAAAGGGCTATTCCATTTTTGTAAAAGTGCATAGTTTTTATTGTTGTGTCCAACTCTTCGTGATCCCATTTGGAGTTTTCTTGTGTGATTGGTGAGATATTGGTGTGGTTTGGCATTTTCTTCTTCAGCTTATTTCACAGATGAGGAAACGGAGGCAAACAAGGTTGAGTGACTTGTCCAGGGTAACATAGTAAAGTATCTGAGACTGGATTTGAACTCAGGCCTGGTGCTCACTCTACTGTGCCACCTAACCATAATAGTGGCCGGAAAAACACTGGGGTTAAGAGACCATTGAGATTCAATGGAGTTGGAAGGCACAAGTGAGTGCAGGTGCTGTTGTGTTCAGCACAAGGGGAGGTGGTTGAGTGTCCTTTCCCCACTTCTAGCCTGTAGGGGAAACAATTAAGGCAATTGGAAGGGAATATTGAGAAGGAAATTCTGTTAGATTTTTTAAGAGTTCTGGATAGTAGAATGCCTATTAGTATAGATAGAAATGGTTTGAGGTGGTATCTACATGGAAGGGAGAGAGATGGTAAGAGAATATGGTAGTCAACAGTGCACATGATTACAATCCATGGTTAGAGTCTAGGAGGACTGAGGCAGTGCCTTCATGACTTTTGTCCTTTGCTTGGGTCATCAGTGGGATGTATTCTCAGGTGTAATGGTTGGGTTTGTAGCTTCTGCTCTCCAGTATTTGCATTCACATTGTGCTTCAGGATATGGAGCAAGAGATGGAAAATAAAATGCTTATGGTGTGCAAAGTATTGTGCTAAGTGCTGAAGGTACAAATAGAAAAAGTAGGGCAGTCCTTATCTTAAGAAGCTTGTTCACATTTGAATGCCCATGTATAGAAAATTTCAGTTGCAAATCAGATGGAAAGGTCCGGTGATCTGTAGGTGCAGTGGCAAAGCAGATGTTAATGTTTTATATCATTTCAACTGATAAATTCAGTGATGGCGATGTTACTATTGTTCATCTATGTGATACATGTGCATTGTCCTCTGTTTCCTAACCCTAGGGGAAAAACAGTTCTCAGGAACAAAGATCAAAGCCCATCCTTTATTCTCCTTCTCTCCTATATTGAGTGGCCTTAATTGTTCTTCTCTGTTCCCTAGAATATTCAACTTGGTTTAAAGTTAGCTCTAACCCCCATGTTGTGATGTCCTAGAAACTTCCTGCAACTCTTTAGTAAGTCTCTTTTAATACTTGTCACACACCTAGGTGTGTGACTCTGAGCAAGTCACTTCACATCAAAGAAACTCAGTTTCCTCATTTGTAAAAAGAGGATAACAATAGCCATGCTACCTACTTCATAAAAGTGCTGTGAGAAAGTGCTTTGTGAAATACAGTGTTGTATGAATGTGTGGTATGATTATGACCTGTCTATACAATGCTAACTTTTCACTTTAGTTCAGCTTTCAGTTGATAATGTTGGTTATCCTACCTTTCTGCACCTTGTTAAGCATGGTTTTTATTTCCTGGATTCACAGCAGGTGACCTCTCTAATCCGAACTGGAATGGAAAGATAGAGAAGCATTGGTGTTATTGCACTGAATCACAATTATTTCCATACTTTTTTTTAAAGTTTACAGTGGTTATATATTTTTTTCAGCTAGACTAGTAAAGCTCCAACATTTCCTCGGTACATTTCCCTCATTCTCCCTCCATTTAACTCCTGCCTCTTTAAGATAGCAGTGTCAGAGTGTGAGAGCTAGAAGGGGCCCTAAGGGGTCAGCTGGTTGTACCCCATCATTTTACAGATGAAGAATATCAGGCCCAGGGAGGTTCAGTAACTCACTTAATATCACCCAGACTCATTTGACTATCTGAAAAGGTAATTCTAAAGCTACTTTCCCACAAGCACTGTGACCTTGTTAACCTCTGAAATCTTAGATCCCTTGTTGTCTATCCCATTCACCAAGCATTGCACTTAGATGGTTATTTCCTTTATCTTTATCATGTCTCTCTCACTTTCTGATCCTCGTTTTATCATTCAGGCCACTTAAGAACATTTCCCAACACCAGTCATTTTTAAAGAACCCAAACTGAAGCATAAAAAAAAAGTCAACCCTCATACCCAATCTTTTCTTTTATCTGAGACTGAGAAAATTTCCTTTCTGAGGTTCAATGTTTATAGAAAAGTGAGGAAATTTAAAGTTCATTATTGTTACCCATCCTTGATTGTAGTATTTACAGGCAGCATATGTAGCAGAAGAGGAAGAGCAGAACAAGGAACTCAAAGCCAGAAGACTTGAGTTCGAATCCATTGTTTAGTACCTTTGGGATCTTTGTAAATTATGTCATCATTGTGAGTCCCAGTTTCCTTATGTGTAAAATGGGGATAATAGTATCTATTTCACAAGGTGACTGGGAGTATTCAGTGGGAGGATTTATGTAAAGTGCTATATAAATGAGTTAATATTAGGTGTAAGAGTTATACCACTCATAATGCCAATTTTCCAATGAAGAAAATAAATACATTTTATTTTCACAAAAGTGAAAATAAAAACATTACTCAAACATTTTCTACCTCATGTGTCCTATATCTATTGTCTCCTCTGCTACTTCTATAATATCCCAACATCCTGAAACTCTCAATATGAAACTCTCCTTTAATCATATTTTAAAAATATATTCTGTTATAGAAATGCTCGTTTTATTGCATACATTAATAATAAAATAAATAAACATTAAAATATGAAACCCTCTTTTTTAAATCTTTATTACTGTCAAGGGTGCCACCAACATCCCAGTCATTCAGGCTCACAACCTAGGTGTCATCCTCAATTCTTTGCTCTCTCTAACACCTCATATTCAATTGGTGGTGAAGTACTGTTGATTTTTACCCTTTTATTTTGCTCCCTTCTCTCCTTCGATACCATCACCACCCTTGTACAGACCCTCATCATCTCATAGCTGGTCCCTTGCAGTAGCCTGCTGGTTGGTTTCCCTGCCTTGTCTCTCCCCACTCCAATCCATCATCCGCTTAGCTATCAAGTTGATCTCACTAAAACGTAGGAGGTCTGATCATATCACCCTTCCTGCCCCCATTCTAATCAATAAACTCTAGTGGCTTCCTATTGTCTCCAAGATCAAGTATAAAAATCCTCTATTTGGGTTTCAAAGGCCTTGTAATCTGGTGTCTTTCTACCTTTCCAATTTTGCACTGTTCTTCCCCCAAGAATGTGCATTCCATGGACACTGGCTTTCTCTCTGCTCTTCTCACAAACATAACAATCTCTTGACTCCAGCCATTTTAACTAGTAGCTATATCCCATGCCTATGGTACTCTCTTTCCTCTTTTCTGCCTTCTAGCTCCCCAGCTTTCTTCAAGTTTCAGCTAAAATTCCACTTTCCTTTCCTCTCAGCTAGTCTTCTGGATTTCAAGATCTCCAGAAACTTATCATTCTGCAAGATAAAATCAACTCTGAAATTCATACCTCCTCTGCACCCCTTGCCCCTGGGGTCCAACTCTCTGTCTGATTAGACAAGGCAGAGGGTGGATATCTGAGTGCTCCACGTAAACCCTATGTTTGAGGAGAGAACTCAGGGAATCCAAATTTCCCTCCTAATCTCCTCGATTTCATGATCTCCAGAATTCTGGAGATCATAATTCTGCAAGACTAATTCAGCTTTGTAACTCACACCTCTTCATATCATTTCATACCTGGGCTGCAAGACTCCATCATGTCTCCCTGCTGGTTATACCACCTTGTAGCCTCTATCCTTGCTTTTCAGCTTCTTTTTATGTGTTGTTTTCCCCCCCTTAGATTGATGGTGTCTTTTGCCTTTTTTTGTATCCCTAGCACTTAGCACAGTGCCTGGCGCTGGCAGGAGTTTAATACATGTTTACTGTCTCTGACTCTGACCTTCTGCAAGAAGCCTTTCCTAGTTCTCCTTAAATCTCAGTGCCTTACCTCTGAGATTACCTTGAATTTATCATCTATATCTACCTATCCATGCATCTATCTCTATCTATCTATCTATCTATCTATCTATCTATCTATCTTTTCAAAATTATTTAATTTATGGAATAAAACAAGTATTTCTATAACATAATACAGTAAATAAGATGATTTCACATGAAACTGCAACTCTATTATGTAAAACTTGCTGTTCCTTTCCAATAGATTATAAAGTTATCAGGCAGATTTCTATTTTTTCTTCCCTGCTCCCACCCTAGAGATGGCTACCATCAGACACAAATGTGTGTGTGTGTGTGTGTGTGTGTGTGTGTGTGTGTGTGTAAAATCATTTTATACATAATTCTATTCATCACTTCTTTCTCTGGATACAGATAATGTCTTCCTTCATATGTCCTTTGTAGTTAAAATAGTCAAAATGACTTAGCTACTCAAAGTTGTTTTTAAAACAATACTGTTGTTACTATACACAATATTTTCTTGGTTCTGCTCATTTTACTCTTCATTATTTCATGCAAGTCTATGCATGTTTTCTAAGGTCATTAAGCTCATAATTTCTATAAGAGCAGTATTCCATCACAATCACATACCATAAGTTGTTGAAACATTCCCTAACCTCTCTCTCTCTCTCTCTCTCTCTTCTCTCTCTCTCTCTCTCTCTTCTCTCTCTCTCTCTCTCTCTCTCTCCGCTCATATTTTTACATGGTTGTTTTCACATTGTCTACCCCATCAAATTGTGAGCTCTTTGACACCAGGCTATTTTTTGTGCCTTTCTTTGTATCTCTAGTGCTTAGCCTAGGATCTAGCATATAGTAAGAGTTTAATAAATGTTGTTTTTATCTAAAGTACTGTTAATGCTTTTTACTTTTTATAGTGTAATCATTTTCCAGCATGATACTTCACTAGATAGAGCCCTCCCTTACATGAGAGAAAAATGGTTAAATAAAACCAATTGGCACATTATGTCCTACAATATATGCAACTTTCCATTTTGATATGCATGGGAAGTGTGTTTCTCTGTATCTAGGACCTCTAAGATGGACATTGGTCATTGCATCTAATCAGAGTTCAGCTGCCTTTTATTGTTTTTCTTTCCATTATCTACTCCTTGTATAATTGCTCTTATTATTCAAGTTTCTTTACCCTGAAATCAGAAGAAATAAGGCTTCACATGCTTTCCTGAATTTATTGAATATTTTACCAATATTCCATTATATTCATATACCAAAATTTGTTCACTCTCCAACTGTTTTTCCCTATTTTGTTGCCAGTTTTATGTTACCCCCTCCCCCCAAAAAAAGAGCTTCCAGGGATATTTTGTTATATAAGAGACTTCTCTTTTTTTGTCTTTAACTCCATTAGGGTATACCCCATCACTGTCTACACAACCCTCTTAAACAGCCACTTGCCACCCTCTCTGTGCCCCCTCTGCTTTCTCTGAGCTCATCATTTTGTCCAGCTGCTTGACTCTTTCTCTACTGCACAGTGCCTTGTCAGCCACCCACTGCCTTTGCAAACTCTTGCAAGCCTGTTGGAAAATTTTCTGCATGGTTGCACAGCCCACTCATATTTGGGGGCTGAACAAACAGCCTACAAGGTTATGCTTGTTCTTCTTTCCCCATTGTACTACATTGTAGTAATCAGCTTACTGTAAGCATTTGCAATGATTTTCATTCCCTCAAGTATTTCAATACGCATAGCTGTTTGGCAATTCATACATCTGGGCTCCTTCAACAAAGTAACTGGTTAGTTCTTGGAATTTTTGGATGAAAAATACATGTATCTTTATCTGTGTATATGATTGTGAATCTATATATATATTCATATATATGTAAATGAGCATATATGTGTATATATATTTGTATGGTTATTGTTGAGTAGTTTCAGTTGTGTCTGACTCTTCATGACCCCATTTGGAGTTTTCTTGGCAGAAATACTAGAATGATTTTCCATTTCTTTCTCCAGCTCTTTTTATAGATGAGAAAGCAGAGAAAACAGGGTTAAGTGGTTTGCTCAGGGTCACATAGCTAGTAAGGGTCTGAGACCAGATTGAACTCAAGAAGATGAGTCTTTCTGACTCGAGGCTTGGCACTCTATTTAGTACACTACCTTGCTGCTCCATATATGTATATATGTATATACATGTATATATGTACATGAGGAGAGAGGACAATGTCTTCATTTCTATATACATATGTATACAAACATGGCTATATATAGACATACACACATGCACATAATATTCATATGTACTTGTATTCACTGATATACATATATGCAATCTACATATGTATAATATATGAAAACACACATATACATACCTGTACACATACATTGTATATATGCGCATATGTATATATATATATATATAAAATGTACATATACATCCCATTGTTTGGAGGCTTACACAGTATATGATAACAATAGAGCATGTGCTGCATAAGGAAATCAAGAAAACCTGGGTTTTAACTGAGCCTCTGCCACTAACTAGCTTTTTGATCTTGTATGAGACATTTAACTCTCCTGTGCCTTAGTTTTCTCATCTGCAAAGTAGAGAAGCTGCTATCTGTCCCATTTCATTTATGATGGCATTGTGAAAGCAAGATGAGATAAAGGAACTTGGGAAAAAAATAATGAACATCATACAAATGGAGAACTGGTTGACTAGATATTTTAGGATAATAAAGACATAGCCTTAGAGAAAATAGGCTCGTTCATAAAATCATTCTCTATCATTGAAAAATCTTTGCCAACAAACATTCTCAGTAACTTGAGGCCGTTAAAAATCTCTAAAATAATTGAAATAAAATGGACTACCTTATGAGGTAGTGAATTTTTTGTCCCTGGAGGAATTTAAGCACAGACCCAGATGATTACTTGTCAGGGATATTGTAGATGGGATTCATACATGGCAAAAAAGTTAAAGCACAGATTTTCAAAGTGTGGTACTGGGGCTCCTGGGGTTACCAAGAGTCTTTCAGGAAAACTAAAACATCAAAATATTCCATAATAACGATGATGACAATTTAACTTCTAATATGGCAAATATCTATAGAAATAATACATGTAAACAAATAATACCTATAAACAAAGCTTTTTGTGGGGATTCTCAATATTTTTTTAGTGTAAAGGAGTCCTGAAACCAAACATTTGAGAAGTGCTAAATTAAATGAAGTCTAATTTGTTGCAGTGTGTTGAGGCCTGATCTTTGAATTAGAAAATGTGAAGGAGCTCTGACACTTCTGTAGCTGAGTGATACTGGGCAAATCACTTAATCTCTTTGTGACTCATTTTTCTCTTCTGTAAAATGGGAATAATAATTTATAAGGAAAGCATTTTGTAAATCTGAAAACTTTTTGACCTGCAAGATCCTTTGGCAGCCTATATGACTTTTATTGTATATCTAAGAAAGCATATGACTAACAGAATGAAATAGTTTTGCTCTGTAGATAGGACATACCAGAAAAACTCCTCAAATAATTTTGTAGGGAGGGACAGAAGTAGAGGAAATGATACTTCGTTATAGCTAGTGAAAGAACAATGGTGGAGAAATAAAAGTCAGGAGCTCATACCTAGAAGAGAAAGCCCCCAAAGCAGAGTACTGACATTGCAGCTTGCCCTCTCTAGGACTCATTTTTCTAATCTGTAAATGGAGTCAGAATAGATGGTTTCCAAGTTCCTTTCCAGTTATAAAACCCTAGGGATCTAGTGCCACTGCTGTTTTTGGTTTTTGAAATGGGCTGACTAAGATATAGTACATGGGATGCTTCAGAACAGGTCAAGGAAAACAATTTCCTAACATTTCAGTTTTCTATATTCAAGTGTGATCTCAACAAATTACTTTATTGCACCAATATTTATTAGATGCCTATTTTTTACTAAAGCATTTCATAAAAGTCATTAATATATATCAATAACTTAATAATAGAGCTAAAATTTATAGAATGAAAGGATTGAAAAGTAGGTATCAAGGTTAAGTGATTTCTACTTACTATTGTTGTTATTATTATTATCCCCTTAGAGTTCCTCCAATTATCCATGCTGTCAGGGGAGAGGGCAGTAATAAGGTAGGGGAATGCCAATCAGGTTGATGTATAGTGGGGATTTTGTGTGCCCTGAACTCTTCCCAGCAGCTATGAAGACCTAAAGTGAGCCCTGAAACACAGACAGATGGCTCTGTTAATACCAACGGTTATGTTACGGAACCCTAGTCTTGGGCATATAATTGCTCCAATGAGTTAAAGAAATAAATGAAGCAACATCAGGTGGCAGGTTTATCCTACTCAAAATTATAGTGACAATCAGCTTCCCAAAGAATATAATGAAGTGACACTCCTTTTTGTTCTTATGACACAAGACAGCAAAACACATTGGAAAAAAAATCAGAAATATCAATATCTCACTTATTAAAAACATAGATGGTGGTTATCAGAAAAGCAGGCAAAATATTTGCATGCATGAAATGGATTGAAAATACAAATGCCTTCTTTATGTGGCAGGACTGTATCATAGCAAAACTGAAGACATCTCGTCATTTTCATATTGCTTTTTATCCCCTCCAAGTAAAAAGAACCTGACATATGCCAACCAGTTTATTATTATTATCAATAATTGCATAAAATCCATTCTTATGCAATCATAAGAAATAACTTTGTTTCCAAGCCTAGTTTAGGTGACATAAGAGAAGAAAAAGAGGAAATACTAAAATCTGAAGAAGGGAATAGTTGAAGAATTTGATGTCATTTAAAAACTTCAGTTAACACAAACTTGAGAAATTTTATATAATAATAATTTGCATGTTTAAAACAATACCAGTGTCTCAAATGAGTTTTGGAAAGGTGACAGGCATACTTAGATTAAAATTTCAAAAAGTTCACTTTGAGTCTCATGGCATGATTCCAACTAGCTGACCAATTTTACTAAAACAGAGTAAGTTTTTAAAAGCTGGCATTTACTACATGATGGTTACATAATGAATAAACACGTTCTCCTACAATATTGTAGAAAAAGTGTAAAAGCACATAAAAATACATGAGTTCACTGTTACTGTGGTAAAAATAATAAAAAAAATTGTACTATCAAAGAATACTCTTAAGGACAGGTATCATACACCATTATCATAGTAACCATTTCAGTTTTTTTTTTTGAGTGAGGCAATTGTGGTTAAGTGACTTGCCCAGAGTCACCCAGCTAGTAAGTCTTATGTGTCAGAGGCTAGATTTGAACTCAGGTCCTCTTGACTCTAGGGCTGGTACTCTGCCCACAGTGCCATGTCGCTGCCCTCACAGAATCATTGATATGTAGGAAGAATACATCAATATTTAGTTGATAGAAATAGTAGAAAACTTGAGCTATATATGATTGCACAATGCCTGGCACATAGTATATAATTATTACATCCTGTATCTAATCATTCAATTAAGGCCAAAAAAAATTGACTTAGGTAGAAAGGAATCAATTACAAAGAAAAGTGTATCAGAAATGCTAGATCCTTAATCATCATTTGAAAACAAAAGCCAAAGAATTAAGACAATTCCAGGAATCAGTGCAGCATGATGAAAACAAATTATTCAACACCAATCAAAATTTTACTATAGAAACTTGAGAAGCAAAAAAGTTATAGCAGTAAAAAGAACCCCTGAAGAAGGATGCGGAAGATTTCTGGTCATCTATATGATCCCCAGAAGTTCAATACAATGGAAATAAAAGTTGAATTGAAAGAGAAACAGAGAGTTTGTACATGGTTAACAAAATAAATGACAGAAGTTATATCAGCTGAATAAGATCTTTAATTATTGGTTTGAATGCTTTATAGTTGTGCATAAATTAATTACTAGCAATGCACTTCACCAGCTTCATCAGACACATACACCTGATTGCAATTTTCTCAACAAAAGGCATTTAGAATATTGCATACGTACCATTAAAAGTCACTCCTCCAAATGTGGGCCAGTTACATGTTTATGTACTATTTGTGAACTGTACTTGGCTAAATTACTAAAAAAGTCTATAAATACAAAAAAAAAGATCATATTATCTGAAAAGCAAAAAATGGTGTGTCAAAAAACTCATAGGGATGTAGCAAGGAACTTATTTTTAATTCAACTTAATTATTAACCAAAAGTGTTAAAACATTTAAGCTTTATAGTTTATTGTAAAGTCTTTAACTTAGGTTTGCACTTATGGCTTATTCATGTACCACAAATATACATGTACACAAATACATATACACAAACATTTGCATATGTGTGTATGTATATCTCTGTCTTTGCTTCTCTGCCTCTGTCTCTCTTTGTCTCTATTTCTATCTTTGTCTCTTTCTGTCTCTGTCTGTCTTCACAAATACAGAAAGAACTCCAATAATATTTTGTGTTCATGTAGATCATTTTCTATTTTAAAACACACCATAAATGCAATGATGGTAAAACAATTACTACAAAGCATCGTATTTTTCAGTGAGATAGTTAATCCTGATGTTGTTTGGTCCAGCTCTAATAAATCCATTATCATTTCTCCCAAATAAATTTGTTATATCTCTCCTAAATAGAATTAAGTATGGATTCCAAATTAAAAGGGAGTTGAACTAAACATCTTATTAATTACAAGATGTACACAGATTAGATCAAGTTACAAACCTCTACTGGAAAACATCTCAAACTCCTCCTTTATCTTGTGAAATCTTCTTCCAATGGTATTAAAATGCCACTTGGACTTCATAAGTGTAAAATTATCATTATTATTTTGAAGACTAGGTCTTCCTGTGTTTCCCAGGCTAGAAGAGCAGGGTCTGCCTACTCATGGTCCTGGTCTTACTGCTGGTTTCACAGGAGGTTTAACCTGCTCTGTTTTCAACCTGCTCTAGTTTGCTCCTTTACTTTAGCCCACTATTGCTCAGAACTTTTGAAATCTAGGTCTTCCAGCCACAGCCACCTTGGTGTTGGGGATTACAGGTCTGTGCTTGGCAAATACAGTATTTTAAAAGGAAATATAGAGACTGAAGGCTTCAAATTTAAATTGGGCTGAACTGAACTGATGGACAAAGGCAGTACTTACAAACTGAAATGCAGACTATGTTATTGTGAAAAACAGGGAAATCAACAAAATTTCCTGATTATAATTGCAAAAGAAGCTCTCCTCCACTTCAGTCTCCTACAGACATGACACCAGGCAAAAAGCTATTAGTGAGTAGACTGTGGCTAAATATATTGAGACTTACTGGCTTTAGAATTGAAGCTCAATAGGAAGGACAGGTTTAAAGCAATGAATATCTATGCAATACTAGTACCCTTTTGAAACTTTAAAACTCATAAAATATTAATACAGAACCAAATAGGTGGCACAGTGGATAGAAACAGGAAGGCTCATCTTCTGAGTTCAAATCTGGCCTCAGACACTCACTAGCTGTGTGACCTTGGGCAAGCCACTTAACCCTGTTTGCCTCAGTTTCCTCAACTGTAAAATGAGCTGGAGAAAGAAATGGCAAATCACTTCATAATCTGGAGAAGGAAATGGCAAACCATTCTAGTATCTTTTCCCAGAAAACCCCAAAATGGGGTCATAAAGAATCAGACATGACTGAAATGACTTAATGACAACAAATATCAGCCTCTGTGTACACTTTTGCAACTATGAAAACTCATAAAATATTATCAAAAGATAGAACTAAATACTTTAAGAAAAATATAGTGCTTTTTCATAAAAAAAGCAGAAAAGGAATGATAGATATTTTCAGAGAACTTGATAAATATGCCTAAGGACTATAAAAATACTTTTGAAATAAGCTTTCATTTCTTCACCAAGCAATAGGAAAAGCTTGTAACAGGTAAATGCCATTAGATTTATTGAAAATAAATTCCTTCTGGATAGAAACAGGCAGTTTTCAGATGAAGATTAAAGCTATCAATAATTATATGAAAAAAAGTCTCTAGATCACTCTAAGCACTATTGACTAGAGAAATGTAAATTAAAGTAACTCTGAGATACCACATCACACTTATCAGACTGGCTAACAAGACAAAACAGGAAAATGATAATATTGGAGATGTGGGAAAATTGAAACATTAATGCATTCTTGGTGGAGTTGTGAACTGATCCAACCATTCTGGAGAACAATTTAGAACAATACCCAAAGGGCTGTAAAACTGCATATGCTTTGAATAAGCAATATCGCTACTAGATAGATATTCCAAAGAGATCATAAAACAGTAAAAAGGACCCATTTGTGCAAAAATATTTATAGCAGCTCTTTTTGTGGTGGCCAAGATGTGGAAATTGAGGGGATGTTCATCAATTGGGGAATGGCTGAACAAATTTTGGTATATGAATGTAATGGAATACTATCATTCCACAAGAAATGATGAGCAGGTAGACTTCAGAAAAACCTGGAAAGACTTGAATGAACTGATGCTGAGTGAAATGAGCAGAACCAGGAGAACATTGTACATAGTAACAGCAACATTGTGTAATAACCAACTTTGATAGACTTAGCTCTTTTCAGCCATATAATGTCTAAGACAATTCCAGAAGACTCATAAAGGAAAATGATATTCACATCCAGACAAAGAACTATGGAGTCAGAATGGAGATTGAAGCATACTATCTTTTCTCTCTCTTTTTGTTTACCTTTTGGTTCTTCCCCTTTTTTCTGATTCTCCTTTCACAACATGACTAATGTGGAAATATTTTTAATATAATTATGCATGTGTAGCCTATATCAGATTGAATGCCATCTTGGGGAAGGGGGAGGTGAGGAAGGGGAAAAAATTTTAGAACTCAAACTCTTATGAAAGTGAATGTTAAAAACTAAAAATAAATAAATAATATTTTTAAAAAAGAAAATAAATTTCTTCTGGATGGAGCTTAATGAAAACACTCAGATCCAAGAGTAGAATGAAAGGGTTCTCCTTAGGTGATATCTATATGAACTTATTTAATAATATGTCAGCAACAAAGTGTGAAGACATGGCTTAGTTAACATGGATTTGATTATAGAAATGGAGGGATTCATGATGTTGGTGATGATTCAGGGTCAAGTCATTGCCTTCAGATATTTCAGGAATGTTATCCTTAACTAGCTTGAACTTAGTGATCAATGTAGACTATTCAAGAAGATGGTAGAAGCTGTGAGATTCTTTGCTGATGTTTAGCATCTATGAAATACCTGGCAAAACATGGCCTTGTGGCTAGAATACATCCTATTCCCATTATTTTTCATGAATTGACAGATGAAAAATTCTTATACTATGAATACAGATCTGAAAATATGATTGAGAATTAAACCAATAAGTTCTGCTGGAAGTGGAGCAAAATCATAGATATAAGTATTGCCCATAATCAAGCAGACATAATAATGATCCATCAAAAACCAAGACCAATTTTTAAAAATAGATATCACTGTACCAACACTCAAAATCTCCAAGCTACGAGCAAAAACAAAAACAAAAAATTTATAAATATAAAGACTATTAGGAAGAATCTATAGGAACAAGATCTTAGACATAACATCTCTGCTGTCCTATGTGCTAATGGAGTTGTATGAGGCTTTCAGTGAGCAGACAGAAGGCACATGTATCCAAATGCTTTCATTCAACTACAAAAAGTGGTTATCTGCCAATACAACAGTCTGCAGAACATTAAATATAAAGACATAATAACAAAATCACAACTTGTCCCAGGACCGTTTTTATATGAACTCCATCTAACAAGATAAGAACAACAACTTTTCAGTAATAACAAAAAAGTAACAATAAAACTCCCTTTGAGAATTCAGCAAATAAACTATATTAGAACCAGATTATAAACATGGATAAAACTGTTACTCTCAATTGCCGAGTCATAAAAATGATCCACAAAAATTTAAGAGCAATGATTTAAATAGGTGTCAGCACCCTGAAGGTGTCACCATGTTCATGATCTCCAAACTACTCAGAATGAAAAGCTTTCAAAATGTTGTGATAGCCAGAGAAATAAAAGCCAGCTGGGAATCAGATGGGGTATGATCATTCCCATCATTATTTCTGCTGATGTATGTGGCCTAAGAAGCTTTCTTTTAGTGAGCCTACTAAAGATGTTTACATTTCAATAGTTTTAATCTATTTTTAAAAAGTAGTTATTTTATCTAACTCTTAAGTAGTCCATAGAACATTAACACCTAAGGGCATCTAGATAACAAAGAGTTCGAGGCCTGGAGTTAGGTAGATCTGAGTTCAAATTCAACCACAGATACTTCCTAGTTATGAGATGCTGGGCAAGTTACTTAACCTCTATTTGATTCAGTTTCCTTAATTGTAAAATGGAGATAACAATAGCACCTACCTCCCAGGATTGTTGTGAAGATCAAACACATAAATATTAGTTATAATAATAATCATAACAACAACAACAATAATAAAAGAATAAGTGTGGTAATGACTTATTCCACTACCAATTCTAGCTAAACTCTACTGGAAAATGTGGGAACAAGATATTAATTACGATGGTATTCGCTGACTCAGTGCTGTGAATGGTGTCTCACAACGATCTTGGGAGGTAGGTATTACTCTGGTACTATTATCTCCTTTTTCTAGGTGAAGAAATCAAGCTTGAGAGAGGTTAGGGGACTTCTTCATACTCACTCACCTTGTAATGACAAAGATTGAATTTGAAACCAAGTCTTTCTGATGCTGTCTATAACTTTTTAAAATATATTTTTATAAATATTTAATTTTTCCTCAATTACATGTAAAATTTTTAACATTTAAAAAAAAATTTTGAGTTACAAAGTCTGTCCTTCTCTCTCTCCTCCCTGAGACAGCAAGCAATCAGATACAAGTTATACATGTGCAATCACTGCCTATAACTCTTTCAAAAACCTCTTTACAACAGATTTGTACAGAATTTTCTTACTGTACTCTACAGAACCCTGAGATTCCTTGACCTAGGCCAAAGAATGTAGTGAAGGAAAACAAAAGCAACAAAAATGATTTTTAATGTTGTTCAAAATTATTTAAAAAACTGATAGAAAATAATCTTGTCACAAAGTTATTTGTGATATTATTAGATTTGGAATATATTTGATCAGAAAAGATTTTTAACTCCAAAAATCAATCTCATGTTTCTTGGTGCCACTAAGGTGACAGTTTCCAAACTTTTTTGTTTTTTTGGTTTATGACAAAACATTCTGTGCCTTGAGGGACTGTGATACATGAATTTTATGCCAGGGTCCCACTGAAATTTTGTTTAAAGGAAGGGTTCTTAATCTGTGATTTATGATGTTTTAAAAAATGATAACTATTCAGCATAATTGATTTCCTTTGTAATAGTTTGTAATTTCATTTTATGCATTTAAAAACAACACTATTCTGCTAAGGAGTCCATGATATTAAAAAAGTTCAGAACTCTTGGAAACCTTAAAGTGACAAGTCCCACCACTGCAAAAAGTCCAACAACCACTTATTAAAGAAAAAAAGGCGAGAAGTCTAGCTGAAATGATCCTGTTGCCTATAGTGCTAGGTACCCTGAGGCTGCTTGGTAAATGTTAATTATAATACTAAGCTGAATTACCTCTTTGTGTATTCTCCTGGCTCATGAGACCACATTGTTCACAGAAGACACATTTTTCCTGAGCTTCTGGGCTTAAGAATTTATTTCTCACAATAACTCTATGAAGTAAGCCCGCCTTATTCATTCTTTCTCATGCAGGAGAGATGATGAACAAAATAGTTTCATTCAGGAGATCAGGACAGACACAGGTACACATATCCCCCAAACAGAGCTCACAATGCTGTGAGAGATGAACTCTCAGAAGTGAAGCCTCCTCAAAAGGTCAATAATTTTTGATTATTACTTTCAAAATCCTCCCCGACTCAGACCTTGTTTTTAAGCACTTAACAGAAAGAATAAGCCCTGTCCCACCCCCCCTGAGCCTTTGCCCTTGGCTTCCCACCTCTTTCCTTGTCTTTGAATTTCGGCCTGGAATGTAAGCCCCACCTCCCAGTTAAGGGGATAGGAAGAAACTTACCAGCTTAGAATGTAAGCCCCACCTCCCAGTTAAGGGGGTAAGGGATAGTGGTGGGTGGAGACTTGTTTGAGTGGTGGGCAGAGATTTGCTTTTATAAGGCAGCCCCTCTTACACGGTCTCTCTCTCTCTCTATGTGTATAGAAGGAGCAGACAGCCATCTCACGAGATTGTAACAAAGGTAACCTTTGCTTTCCACCTTGAGAAGTCTCTGAGTTTAATTTGGGTTAGGGTCGCTGTCCCACACAATGCTAAAATACCTAATGGTGAAACTTTAAATCATTCCCTCCTCCATTCTCTCTTCTGATCCTCCATGAGTATTATTGTGTAGAACATTAGCGTAGGATCAAACATGGAGTTAATAGTAGAGCTAGAATTTGAACAAAGTTTTTCTGGGTAAATATCTGGTTCCCTTTCAACAACACGATGCTACATCTTAAATTCAGAGCTCGAAGGCACCTTACAGATCTTCTAGCCCAACTTCCCCATCTATTTTTACGGATGAGAAAACTGAGGCCCAGAGAAGTTTTGCCTTACCCGAGGTGACATAGGTAATCTGTGGTCCAGTTTCCCCTGAGTTCGTGGTACATATGATCTGGCTCCAGCCTCTGAGAAGGCCCTAAAATATTAATCTCTCTTTGGCTCAGATCGTTCCCACTCTGGCAAATCTCTCCACATACAGCTCATTTCTAGACATGTCCCCACAGATTCACTAAATAGAAGGCTGGATCCTCGAACTCTCAAGAGAGGTTACTTGTGAGATGATGCCTGAGGCTAGTTCAAGGATTGTCCTGCCCAGAAACCCACCCACTCCACCTCCACTTTCTCTAACCAAGAGACTGGGTTCAGGAATGACATCATCCAGGAACTCTTCCTTTGGATGATCTGGGTGAGTATATCTTCCTTCCCTGGCAGGTCTTCTGCAAGGCAGATATTAATGACATTTGGTAGGAGTGAGGGAAAAGCAACCTCGGCAACTCAAGATCTCTGTAGAAGCAAGGCCGGAGGGGGAAATGTGCTGAGTCCTCAGTGGAGATTCTCTTTTATGGATTGGCACAAAGTATGGTTCTGACTGATAGTCCTTTCTACTTGATTGCTGTGTCTTTAGAACTTTGCAGAAAGAGTGTCAATGATGTATAATTCACGGACGCTCCCGAGATTAAGAACAAGTAGATATGCTGAAAAAAAAAGTCAAACAATCTCACATGATCTATCTTAGCTTACAGCATGCTAGAAAGAGTAGTTGAGCTCTAAATAAAACAAAACAAAATGGCTCCACATGAAATGCAGTATTTACACCAGGAGTAGCAGAGATTTGTCATTATGTCCTTTGACTCCAAATCCAGTGCTTGTTCCATTACTCCAAGATTCCCCCTGAATTATTGTTCCCATTTTACATATGAAGAATCTTGGGACCGGAGAGAAGTTAGGTGATCTGCCCAACATCACTCAGCTAATAAAGGTGAGAGATACAATTTGGGTCTTCCAAGTGCCAAGCCAGTGCTTTTCCCTATTATGATGTACTTTGATTAAGATCTTCTCAGGTTGGTTGGCGCTACCAGAGAATGTGGTCTAACCTTCCAGAATCCATGAAGAGTATTACAAAACTAATTCATACCTGTACAAGACATTTTCTAATCCATGAAGAAAATAACTTCAGTTATATTTTCACGAATGTTTTTAATGGTATATAAACCCGAATCTAACATCGCTATTTATAAATGGAAGGATCATAAGATCATTGATTTAGAGCTGAAAGGAACCTTAGAGGCCATCTAATCCAACTCCCTCATTTTACAGATGAGGAGACAGAGCCTCAGTGAGATTAGGTGACTTGCCCAAGGTCCCAGAGCTACTAAGTGTCAAAGGCAGGTTTGAATCCAGGTTTTGCTGACTCCCAGTGCAGATAGCTATCCACTATGCAATCCTGACTCTCTAGAATCTCTCTTCCTCACTCCTGATCCTTGTTCCAGCTCTAATAACATGGTGGGAGCAGTCTTGTCTTAAATCTGTATTGAGGGGCTCCTCACGCTACCCTGATACTCATACTTTTTTCAAAGATGCTAATGAATAAACCTTTTGTTATCAGTTAACAACAATTTTTTGCTTGGGGTAAGGTAATACTTGCCCACAAAATCTTATCTCAATTTACCCTGGCCAGCTACCAAGATGCCTTAACCTCCCTGCCCATCCAACTATCCCTCTGAATGCTCAAACTTCTTGGGAATGAGATAAAGAGTTATAAAGAAATAAAGCCAGCAGAGTCATTTTTCCACAGAAGTCTCCTGTCTTCTGACACAAAATTTCTCTGGTCTGAAAATGAAGAGCCTCTGTCTATCGTCAAAAATTTCTTTATTACAATAGTCTCCTTTGTGAGTGCAGCATTCCACAGCACCACTATTTATGTCAGCAATGATGTTATGAGGATGTCTGCCATCACTATTGCAAACCAACAGGCTGTGCTTTCCTCTTTTGAATGGCTCCAGAGAGGCCTGATGCAAGGGATTGCTGCCTCATCTGTTCAACTTTGGTGACCTTATGGTGTTTTCAGTATGTTAAATACTTTTGTTCTACTTCTTCTTCAGAGAACTTCTTTCAGGACTTTGATGACCAAATCTGCAGCAGAATCTGATCTGAGCATGGATATTCTTAATGGTGAGCTTCACTGGGATCCACAGCACTCCCTGGTCATCACTTGCCTTGGCATTGTCATCACTTGCCTTCTGAGAGACAAATCCAGGAGACCAATTCTGAGGGCCAAAGTGGATGGACAACAATTTCACCACCAGTGCATCAAAAAAAAAAAAATCTTAATCTCAGTAGGATTAAGATTGAGGAGCACAGTAGTGACAAAATTGGGGGCATGGTGTGAACACTGAAGGGTGGCTCTTGGTGTTGCATAAACCCAACTTCAGGACAACTAAACACAGTTGCATTGCTGTTACCCACGAGCTGGAAGCTGAGGGGCTACCTGATTTCTGTATGAATTGGTACATAGTCTTTTAAATTACCTTAGTGTGCTTCAGACCTTCTTGCGGCAAGAAGTCAAATCTCTGACAGTGCAAAGCTGCGGAATAATTGATTTCGATCTTGCTAATTTGTGCTCTTTCATAATCTTCACCATTTACTTTATATGCAAGTAGCCAGCCTTCATGTGAAAGGAAGGGAATGATGGCCAGTAATAGGCAAATGATGAAGGTAGGCCCGAGTGACTGAACTGAGCATAAGTCCTGCTGGAATTTGTGATGACTTCTAATAGAGTCTCTGTAGGACTGCAACACGATAAGAATGGTTCCTAGGAATTAAATGAGTTGGATTGAGATTCCTAAGAAAGAACATGTCTCATTTTAATGATTCAGACAAGCTTGGTGAGTACATTTGGAGGACACTGGAGACTGCAATACAGGAAGATAACTAATGACATATCAGGGACAATTTAAGTGCATGGCTTCTGAGTTCAGCTTAAAGTGAGTATGTGAAGAAAAGAACTCCAGGGAAACACTATAATTTGGAATTGGTTCTCACTTTGACAAGGCATTTGTCGATGAGAACTTCATTGAACATTTATAACAGTGCATTAGGTACTGCTGTCATAGGAAGATACTCCTCTAAGAATCATTAGTCCATTTTAACTCTTTGGGGTTTCAGGGCACATGTCCTTGATGCAAGTACGTAATTATCATGAGTTATAAATGAAACACCATGTCACCTAAGAGATTTTGTTCCATCCAAAAAGTGTAACAGCATTGAATAATGCAAACATAGAGTAGAAATGATAGGATTTAGCAGTAAAATGGATAAAAAGTATGACCCTAGATTTTACAGCACAGTAAGAGAATAGTGTTTTCATTGTATATCTTCACCGATGAAAATATAGGTTTCATTTTATGGAGGATTTAACTCTGCTTTTCATTCCATTTCTTCTCTTCCTGTATTTCTAGAAAACAGTTTTTGATCTTTACTGCTAAACTCAGTACATATTATTATTTTTGGAATAAAGCTTTTCCAAACCTGAATGGACTTATATTCTTTTTGAAGAACTTCCCTTAGAAAAAATGATCTTATTGTCTGAATTCTGTGGATTAATCAAGTTAGCCTAGAGCTGGGATAGAGAGAGAAACTTTTTAGTCCCTATAGAATAATTATACCCCAAAAAACAACTACTGGATTGTAAACCCTATGAGGGTAGGAACCATGTCTGAGCTTTGTATCTGTCCTATTGCCAAGCATATGATAGATACCGTATGATAGATACTGAATAAATTCTTCTTGAATCAAATCTAACTGAAACTAATAAGTTACCTCAGTCTGTAACTAAAGAAATTTTATTTTTTTAACTGGACCTTTAATTTTATTGGGGTAGGTAATTTTTGGTGAATTATTCTTCTCCTATTCCTACCAAAGTTGATATGTAAGAGGTTTGCAATTTACAATCTTAGAGAGTTCCCTGTGGCATTTAAAGGTTAACTGCCTTTCTCAGGGTCACACAAACAGTATGCATCAAAAGCAAGACTATAACCAATGTCTTCCTGATCCACATCCAGCTACATATCCAATATACTACATGGATGTGTGTGTGTGTGTGTGTGCGTGTGTGTGTGTATGTGTTTAACACCCAACTATATTGCTTTCTTGAGGAAAGTATCATATTTTTTACTTCAATGTGCCATATACTAAGGAAGGAAGTTAATCATCTCTATGGGAGAAAATATCTGGGAATAAGGAAAACTAGGTTTTAATCTTTACACATAGACTTCCTCCCTAACCACTGCCTCCCTCCCCCCAATTCTTTGCCTACTCTGAGTTTTATATTGCTCATCTATAAAATCAGAATAATGATATCTCTTCCCATCGTGAGGTCACAATAATATTATGAAAATACAATGGTCTGTTTCCAACCCCTGCCTCCGCGTAGATTCAGGATTTGAATTCAATAAATATTATTCAGTACCTCTTCTATGTCAAGCAGAGGGGTGTGGCAGCCAAAGGAAACATCTGGTTAGAATATAACTTTATTTTTAATACATTACTGAAGAGGATGGTAGAAGAATGAAGTTGTCTCCAGGAGTAGATAGATATAGCCCTCCTAAAGCTTTTTTTTTTTGCCTCCTTAACAGAGTTAAGTTTTAAATAAGTAAGATGTGAACTCACATTGATCTGATATTTCTTTGTCCTTTAACATTAATCAATTGATTGATTCAGAGCTAATCCAGCCTTTAAATCAGTTAAGCATGCTCAGTGTGGTATCCATAGGTTCAATGAATGCCAGGGTAAGTTATACTCATACTTCATCAAGAATCCATCAGCAATGCAAGAACAGTGACCTTGTCCCTATCTCAACTCTGTTGAAAAGGAGTTGACCTTGACAAGATGGTCTCACACTCTATTAAGGAGAAACAAGGGGCTACTCCTAGGCACACACTCTACTTTAAATTATGAGCAGCATTATTTCACAGAGCAGAAAAAAGAAGTATAGTGAAAAATTAGTCTGTAGAAGGTTTTGTTGAAACCCTGTTACAGCAAATCATGCAACTAGAAGAACAAAACAAAAAAGAAAAGAAAGGAAAAAAGTAATAGTTCCCATTTTCATCTATAGTGTTGAGCATTTGGGGTCTAACA